GTTTACTCTCACAGGATTTTTTCTTGGTTTTTCTCAAACTCTCACTCTTTTTTTGGTGATTAGTGTTTGGGGCACTCAAACTCTCTTTTTCCTTGTTCTTGCATAAGTGTTTCCGATCTTGATGTACCTCAGACAGTGTCAATGGAACTAGAGTGAACTTCTTCCCCTTAAACTCAAAAGAATGCTTGTTTGTGAATCCATCATGTGTAACCTTGCGATCATACTGCCATGGTCTTCCCAAAAGAATATGACCAGCTTCCATAGGCAAAACATCACATATGATCTCATCAGCATACTTTCCAATAGAAAAAGGAACTTTTACTTGCTTCGTCACTGTCATTTCCCCATTGTCATTCAAGCATTGAAGACTGTAGACCCAGCTTATGAACCAAAGTCTGACTTGCAACATTCGTACAGCTTCCTCCATCAATGATGAGGCTGTAATGCTTCTCCTGAACAAGACACCTTGTGTGAAACAGGTTCTCTCTCTGTTCGGTCTCCTCAGACTTTGTTCGAACTCTCAATGACCTTCTAGTAATAAGCAAATCACCTTTTGTTGGAAGTTCTTCATGTTCTTCTGATGAGGGCAATGAATCAGATACCACTTCTCCTTCTTCTTCAGTAACAATATCTTTATTGTCCAGAAGTAGCATGGTTCGTTGGTTAGAGCATTCATTGGCATAATGTCCCTTGCCACGATACTTGAAGCACTGAACATCGCGGTTCCTTGTCCTTGTTGGCTTGGCTCTCCCTTTGTTATCTTGACTAGTAGTGGTTAGTTTAGCATCAAACCATGGCTTTGGGGCTGTCTTTACTTCTCTGGAGTAACTAGGTCTCACACTAGATGTTCCATAAGTACATCCGACATTTGACCCATAGCAGAAGTCTAATTTCCACAAATTACAGTACCATAAATCTCTTCCATAAACATAAAAGAGAAAGAGAAAGATTTTTTCAGAATCAGATAGAATGCAACAATCATAACTATCCGACCAAATCACATGTAATTTTTAAATCAGTTTAAAATTACAAAAAAAAAATTAATAAACAAAAAAATAGAAATAATTTCCACTCAAGTCTAACTCAACTGAGGTAGAGAAAAATTTACAAGTTTAACTTAAACACTTTAATATATATCAGCATCCAAAGTATGGAACTTTGAAATCCAAAAATTTAAATAAATAATTTTTGAAAGCTGTAAGAAAAAAATGTCCATAAAAACAGGCATCGCAGTAAGAAAAACATCAACAATAAATTACAATAACAATATGTAAGAAAAGAAAGAAAACAAAATTAATCAATCTAATGCCAAACTAAATGAAACATAGATAGATCTTTAATACAAGAGTATGCGTAAGAAAGTTTTTTTAAAAATGAACATAATATCACAACGAAAGGACATATGAAAGAGACTAAATATTAAATAACATATATATATACACAAACTACATGGAACAAAAAAAATAACATACACACAAACTAAATATAATAAGAGGAAATATTCTAAAATGACCCAAAATGATAAAATAATATGAAATGGATACCCCCATTGAGGAAAAATTATGAAAACGACCCATTTTTACGATTTTTATAATACCAGCACTACCTCTCTAACTGTTATTACTGGCAGACTAACAGCAGACTGAATGCAGACAACTCGCAGATCGAATGCAGACTACTGGCAAACTATAGTTATTGGCAGAATAACGGCAGACTGAATGCAGACTACTGGCAGATCGAACTCAGACTATTGGCAGACTGATTGGTCAAATAATTAAATATAGATAACTGACAGACTAATGGTAGACTAATTGCAAATTACTGGCAGACTTAACAGCAGATTGAAAGCAAACTAGTAGACCCCTCTTATGGGTCATTTTAGAAAGGATCATGTTTCATAATAAAATTGTAAAATAGGTCATTTCAAAATTATTCCGTATAATAATCATCTTTATCAAATAAAAAAAATAATAATATTCAAATAATAATAAATACAAAGAGCCTAAAAGTGATTACGAAAACACTTCTGATAGTAAAAAATAATAATTTATTAAAAATACAGACTAAAACTTCATGATATAAAAAATTATAAAATTTAAAAATAGCATATGAAAAAAAAAATTGCATTGAAGCAATACTATAAAATCATACAAAAATACAACTAAAATTCAAAAATAAATAAAACTCATGCACGAAGTACAGATTAACTCCTAGTACATCTAAAATTCTATAAACTTTAGTTCTAACTTTCTTTTATGGGTTCAAATATATAATAACCCCTGTTCGAAAATGCGGCCATGGGAGCCGATTAAACGGCGGTGGTCAACCGTGGCCAACAAGTTTGGATATATCAAAAAATTCAATTTTTTAATTTTAGAAAATTGCAATTGGTAGTTAGATTGTAGATCTATCATAACTAGATGAATACAGGGACATTTTGGTAATTTTGCAGTTTATTAAACAAAAAACGAGAATATAGCAAAATAAATCATTTTCTAGTCTCAGATCCATGACCTGTAAGCAAATTTTAATATAGGGAACAACTAGACCAAAGCAAATATGTGTATATATTGCAATTATTTAATATATATATTAAATTAGAAAAAATCAATCCTCGAGTACTCCCTGTTTAATTCTGTTTAATTAATTAGACGCTAAATCCTTGTCCATTGTCCGATTAACGCCTAGCAAATTTTTAAACAGAGATAATAACCTATTTTTATCTTTTCTTGAATCTTGATTTTGGCCCAATTGATATTGGTTTTGGTTTGGATTAACACTCACAAATTCCCTAAAAACTATTATCTGAAAATATACTCCCTCTCTTTCTTCAAAAATGAATTTTTAGATTTTTCACACTTATTAAGAAAAATCATAAAATAACACTTTTACCCTTTATATTTTATTTTACAAAAGTTACTTTAAAAAAAACAAAAGAAAAGTAATAAAGACAAAATGGGAAATATTTGACAAAAGTTATTTTGAAAAATAAAAAAAATTCATCTTTGTGAAACATATTTTTGTTCTAAAAAATTCCTACTTTCAGAAACAGAGGGAGTATCTACCAATCTCTGAATCAAATAAATAAAACATTAAAATACTATCCATAATAATAAAAAAAAATTATAACATAAATAGAAAAACATGATATATCATAATTATAATTGGTAATGTGAGAAAATATACAGATATTACGTTGTATACAAATAATAGATAATTGTGACAAATTGTTTTTGACCACATTTATTAGGAAAACAAGTTTTGTCTTAATATAATTTTGCTAAATTTATATAAAAATTAAATTATATGTTAATATCGTTTTGCTAAAATTTTATCCACTTCATATATATATAATTTTATTATCTAAATTACAGCAAACTATATTAACTAATAATTTAATATTTTATTTTATTTATTTATATAGTCATTAAAATTTGATGCTTAGTCAACTAATTTCAAAAGTTGTTTTTTCAATGCGGAAGAAACTGTCTACGTCCTATATAAATATAATTTGTGGTTAGAAATGATAATATAATCTTTTCATTTGTTATTTTAATTTCAACTTTTAGAAAATGTGACCCTCATATGTGTATAAAACAAATTGATTAGATAATAGTAATTATATCTTTCTCTTTTATATTCTCAAAACTTTCCATCTTCTGATATAAGATTGGAATCACTCCAACTTATGATCACTCAATGATCAAAAGATTTCCAAGCTTATTGATACGGAAGGTGGAATGAAGTCCTGATGGATGGTGAAAGAGATTGACTCGCTCAATCAGTGGCACAAATAAGAGTATTGAATCACTCAAGCACTCTCAATTCGTGGGTGTCTGTAGACCTAAAGTGAATCACACACTTAAGACTCTAAAGAGAAATAAACACAGAGAACTCTTACTTTGTGAAAAAACAAAATGTTTCTATTACTTTAATGATCAAGGGTAACTTCATACAAAGGACGAAATGAGCTTTATATATAGCTCTTACATGAGTAAGTTAAAGTTCTAAAAAGATAGAAACAAGAAAGAAATCAAAGCATTGAATAAAAACTAGCTGTTAGGCCATAATGAGGAAATCAGCCAAAAATATGGAAACTGGGGTCTTCTTGTATCTGCACAGTTTGAGGGTATAAGTGAGATTCTCTGGGACATTCTGGATGGTAAATAAGACGTCCATAAAGCAGCAGCTTGGACAAGAGAGCCGTTGGAGAGTAAAGGCTCCAAGTGTGAATGTGTTGAATGCTTTTGTGTCCAAGTAAGGGAAGTGGGAATGATCAAGGATTCGCCTAATCCTCTGGGTTCTGGAGCATGGTAAGACGTCTTGGGTAGCTTCTAGATGATTAATAAACTCTCCTGGTCGCCAAAGTCTTCTTAGTAAATAAATAATCCCAAGAGCTTCCAAATAAGGCAAGTTGAGCATCATCCGGTTTAGAAGTTGAATAACTTTTAAACCGTAATGAATTTTGGTATGAATCCAATTCGCCTCGGTTCTTTGATGAGTAAAGTTTCCAAAACATCCGGTTTCGTGGCTTGGTTCGTCGTGGTTTGGCCGGAATGAAATATCTAGTACTCGCATATCTCCATCGGGTCCATTGAAGATCTGCCAAATTGTATCTTCAATATCTTTCTCATATGAACTCCTTTTTAGCTGATTCTTCTTCGTGATGAACTCTAGGTGAGTTGAGAATAATTTCCAAGTCCAGGTTGTGTCTGAATACACGGAAGGATTGAGGTCTAGAAGGAACAAATCATGAAAGATAGTCTCTCCTTTATTTATGACATGTTCCCCAAGGGAGGTCGTCTCTCCTTTACCCTTGGCTAGACCATCATGTCCGTAGATCCTTTGATCTATTGTTGATGCTATCCTCAATATTGCATCATCTTCATTTCTTTCTCTAGTGTCTTTAGATCTCAAAGGAATTATGTCATCCACCACTGTCAAACAACTATACGCTTTCCATGCCCAAGACAGAAAATTATTCCCTAAACTTGTCATAGAATATTCAAGACTTCCAGCTGAATCACTTTTTGTCATGGCCACATGGCGTTGGCTTGAAGACATTAATTTTGAACACATATTCTCAATTCTCACGGCTCTGAGTGATCTATTTATTATGGCTCTTGCTGATGAAGCTACTTTGTGCTTCTCATGCCTTGAGTTTACCAAACAAAAAAAAGCCTTAGCAAGATCCCTGTCACTTCACGATTCATGATAAAAGTTATATCTGTTCAAATAATCTATGAAAATAGATACAGTTCCATCAATAGAATTTATTCTAGAATTTTCTTTGACATTATTCTAAGAGTTCTTCCATCTTCTTCAACATCCTCTTGTTTCACTAACGTTTGCGGCCCTCTCAACATTCCTGGTTTTCCACATCCAACTTTTGGGAGCATCAATGTGATGCCTCATATCTCTGGGGATGGAACCGACTGAAAACGATTGCACTATATTTTCAACGTTTTTTCGTGGTTTTCCAGTGTCTGAAACGGAATGAAAGTAAAGAAAGTATTCACCGACAGATTTTGAGAAAACTGCGTTGAAGGTGTTTACATGCCAATGGTTAGCGGAAACCATCCTAACGTCATTAATAATAACAATGGCCAAGAACATTCATTATATGCGAGGCTGGTTGGACTCGGTCGAAACTGTAGATCGTATTCTCGAAGGCGATTATAGAAAGTTTGATATCCACAAGAAATATACTTGAATTCGTAAATATGAAGAGAGACGACATAAAAGACGTAAATGTTGTTGAATGTTGAAATCATTTAATTTATATAGTTGCCGAATAATTATGTAAGGTCTAAATAATATTGAGCTATTTTACTGTGAAAAAGTGAAAAATATTTTTTTTATTTACAAAAATTTATTAAAGTAAAAGAAGTTTTAAGAAGAAAAAAATGGAATCGCATTATTTGGTAATAAAACCTAAAAACTGAAGGCACATCATTCAAAGAAATACCTTAAAATACCACTAAAATTATTGATTTTTTACCAAAATAATATCAGTAATTTTTTTACTCCAAAAAAGAACGATTAAATGATAATTTTTAAAAATAACACAAACTCTAAAACTTGTTTTTAAAGGATTATAATTTAAATATAAGTTGTGATTTAGTATTTTGGGTTTAGGATATAGTTTTTATGGTTTAGTGTTTACTTAAAGGGTTTATGGTTTAGTTTTGAAGGTTTAAAGTTTAATTTTAGTTTTATGATATTCATAGAAAAATATCATTTAATAACTTTTCTAGAATATTGTGAATAAATTGAGATGATTCAGTTCATCTTAATTAATTTGATTTAATGTATCTTTTCTTTTATATTTTTTTGTTACTGGTTGAAAAGTTCATTAAAAAGAAGGATTTTCTGCAAAACAAATCCTCCAAGTATTTTTTTTTTTTTTTTGCAACTCTACGTTTCATTTACAATAAATGCAACTCAAACCACCAAATTTAGGTCAAATCGTAATATGGCTTTTCTATATAATCACCATGTAAGACATGTGTATTTTTAACAGATCTAAAAATGACATCGTTTTAACACCAAATTTTAAAACATTTAATTAAAAAGCACACTTGAACCCTACACCTCGTAAACATTTAAAACTCTGCATTGCCACATGAAGCAGATGGTTGTTTCCTTACCATTTGGTGTCGAAACGATGCTGTTCTAAGTTCCGTTAAAAGATACACATGTCTTACATGGTAATTATATAGAAAGGTGATATTGCAGGTTGACTTGAATATGGTGGTTTTGACTTGCATTTTTTGCAAGTGAAGGGTAGAGTTGCAATAACAAATCACTTGAAGGTTTTGTTTTGCAGAAAACCCTAAAGGGAATTGTAGAGTTTGATGAATTTGTGATTAAAGGTTTTGATACTTGAGAAAAACCAATATATTGGATGAACATATGACATTGGTGAATAAATCCATTCATTGTTTACGTTTTTTTAATAAATACAATGATTTGATAAAATATAAATATATTATCATATTAAATGGTTCACTATTAAATAATTAAATTATTTCTTGTAGAATAATTGTAACAATAACGATTATTTGTTTTCAAAATTATGAGAAATGGGAGGAACCAGCAAAAAAGAGAAAAATATTAGTCTCTATATATTGAACTAGTTGATGATATCTGCTACATGTATATGTGTTAATCATTTTTATGCATTGTTGTGTACTATATTTGTCGTATTATATAGTTGTGGGTATTTTGTGATGGATTTCTCTTTCTGTGGTATCCCAATTTTGTTCAAATATTATCTAATATAGATCATTTAAATTATTCAAACAGTTAAGGGAAAAGAATATATGTGATGTAACATATTTGAATTACCCATCTCGAAATTTTAATTATATATACTTTCCTAAGTTTTTATAATATATGTATCTCAAAGTTGATCATTCACCAAATTATTGAGAGTTTGAGAAGATATTTTAGATAAGAAAATATCTTCTATCCGTAAATTCTTATCCTGAATTCTGAAATATCATGAGCTAACATTTATTATTGTTATTGGTTTATTTTTTTTCCTATGATTTTGTTGATTTTTTATATTTTTTACAACCTTTTATAATTGTCTGTTAATAGTTGCTATTTATATGGTTCTAAAACTATAATTCATTCTATGTATTGTTTTCTAAAGTTATCTAGTTTAAATATTATGTTGTGTTTTAAGAAAATTTAAATTAAAACTAGTTGCGTATGTGAAGGTACATATAGATGATGAGGTGATCCGTGCTAGTGGGTGGTCCGCACTTCATGTGTTAATCATTTTTTATGAATTTTTGTGTATTGTAGTTGTTGTATTGTATAGTCGTAGGCATTTTGTGATGAATCTCTTCGTCATCTGTACTCGTCTTAAATTTTTCATCCTATATTAAATCTGTTCAAATATTACCTATTAAAGATCATATATTTTATTCAAATAGCTACAGCTGGGAATATATATAATAAAAAAATATTCGAATTATCCGTTTAGAATTTAAAATTTAAAACTAATCCCCCAAATTTTCCCAATATATATGTCACTAGTTGATCCTTACCCAAATTATTAAGAGGTTGAGAAAAGATTTTAAACAAGAGAATTTTCAAATACTATCTTATTACCCAAAATTTTTATTTTGTTTTCTAATGTATTCCTTTGAGAATTGTTTTTGTACTCCCAAATTATCCATTTATTTCTTATACCTGTAAATTGATATACTCATATTATAGTATGTTTTAGCATGCATTTAGTTCATGTTTTGTTTCCTTTCATGCATTTATTTATTATGTTTTGTCACATTTGCATTCATATTAGACATAATAGGTCTTAGATTAGACTTTGCATGTTTTGCATTGTTTGGAGTGTTTTTCAGGTCTATAAAGGAGCTTTGGTGGGCGTTTGGAGAATGGTGAATGATGTGGACAATACGAACCAAGAAAAATGGAGAAGCTCACGGATTTGAGGCTATACCAAGGTCCTGTACTGACCAAAGCCGAAGAAAAGGCTGCACGGTATACAGGACGATATTGTATGGATTCGAACTAAGGTCTTCCAGTGTGATTCAGCCTCCGCTTCCTTCATAGAAGCTGAACAGGATCAAGTTACCTGTCCAATGAAGTGGAACTAAGTTATTCCGGTGCTGGGTTCGAAAGTTACGGAAACTCTAGCAACGCCGTCCGTAACAAGAATATGCCTTAATCCGAGAAAAGCCAACCATCTTTGACTGTTTTATTTTTGTTATCTAAGGCTATTTTGGAGATGTTCTCTATAAATATATATCATAAATCTCTTTTCTCTTATCAGTTTTCTTCTCTAAAGCTTTGTTTTTTGTTTTTCAAAGAATAAGAACAAAACTTTTGTGGGTTGAGATTGGATCACTTGTAAATATTTATGTTTTCTTTTTTAAATCTTTAATCTTTTAGTTCTTTTCATTCTTTTTCATCTTGTCTTTGTCATTTCGAATTTTTTCTTGAGTTGTGATTTATTTTAAAGCTTTTTTATTATTGGTGAACAATAGTGTTTCTTTTGGATGTTTGATGTGTTAGGTTGCTAGATATTATCATTCCTCTTTTTGCTGAATTGATCATTAATGATTAGTACCTCTTTGGAGTAGATAATAACCCTAGGCGTCCCATCTTGCATTCCATGTGCTTGATGAAATGCTTTACTGGTTCAAATCATGAAATAGATGCTTAGAATGTCATGAGTCTTTGCATCACCCATTGGTGGGAAGTTGTCTTTAGATGACTGCAATAAGTGTAATCAGTAAGTAGTTGTTTGATATATTGCAGCAAGTGATGAGTTATCACACAGACCACTAACCATGGAGGTGGGGGACCTTGTTAGATTTTATTGACCTTGTGCTTCTTGCTTGTTTGTTGGTAAATACACCACTAACCATGGGTTGAACATGCCATTAAACAAAGTAGCTTATCTTGTTTTAGATGTCCTTATCTAGAGTTAAATGGTTCTTAAGATTTATTAGATCACTTAACCATAAGCATGATTCACCTTGTTTATCATTTTAGTCTTGAGCCTTGCTTTTGTCTTTTGCTTTAAGTGTTTTGCTTTCCCCTTGTTCATCTTAGGTTGTTAGCTTTCATTGCCTTTTCATTATTAGGCCTAGCTTATCAAGTTTTCTATATCTTCACTGTTGTGTAGCCCCTGGATTAGATTGATAACCTTTCTTTACTACAATGGCAAGTGTAGAGAGATATTGAGAGTGGTAAAAGACCTAATTTCTCATATTTTAATTGGTGCCGTTGCGAGTTCAGGAGTGTTTAAGGCTTTTGAGTTTGATTTCTGACTAGGCTATTTTCTTTGTATTTTTGTGTGTTTTATTGATTAAAGAAGGAATATTAGTTACACTGCACTCTCATCTTTGAGTTTCACTTGACAAGAGTCAAAGCTTTGTGATTATAAACAAGCACACTGTGAAGGTAGTTCCAAGTGTATCCCTTGTATATATTTGTTCCTTATGCTTTTGATTTATTTCGTTTAGTGTTTCAGGTTCCTAAGATGGCTCAAATGGTTCAACAAAGGTGGAAAACGCCAAGGAGCTGAAACTAGTTTTTGAGCCGAGCTGGTGCACCGGTCAAAGCCTAGGAAAAACTGGTCGGTGCAGTCGCACCGAGGTCATATACCAAGCACAAACCAAGCATTTCTGCTTGGTACGATTGCCTGTTCGTGCACCAAGCTCTTCTCCTGATGGGCCGTCACACCGAGAACCACTACCAAGCAGGACCAATGCCGAATGAAGATGTCTGAGTTAAGGCCATACCGTATGCGCACACCGTTCTGAGCCCATGTACCGACATTGAAGCATTGGATGCCTTGGGGATGATCAGGAGGTCGTATCGAGCTGGATATCGGGAAGTTCTGCTTGATATGGGCTCATATCTTGCTGCATATCGGGCTGACTTGCACGATATTG